ACGCTTCGAGAACATCGGCAGCTGACGCGCACGCATGCGCCGTCGCGCTTCGAGAACATCGGCAGCTGACGCGCACGCATGCGCCGTCACGCTTCGAGAACATCGGCAGCTGACGCGCACGCATGCGCCGTCACGCTTCGAGAACATCGGCAGCTGACGCGCACGCATGCGCCGTCACGCTTCGAGAACATCGGCAGCTGACGCGCACGCATGCGCCGTCGCGCTTCGAGAACATCGGCAGCTGACGCGCGCGCATGCGCCGTTGCGCTTCTCCCCCTTTTCGAACATTCGACAGCTGACAGTGCATGCGCCGTCGCGCTGTATATATACTCAAGGTCGGCGCTCGCTCGCTCAGTTGCCGCTCGTCGGTTGGTTTGTACGGCGCGTCGACGTCCAAGGTCACGGTGAAATGAATTCCAACGAATCCACAAACACAATGATCGACGTCCCTTCGACCAGCGCCGCCCTTTCGCATACGTGTGTTCGTGTTCATTCATTCAACACCCCCTCCTACAACCACGTTAACCAATTTAGCCATCGACCCAAGTAAGTCGCAATTTAACACCCCATTTCACAACCACGTTAACCAATTTAGCCATCGACCCAAGTAAGTCGCACTTTAACACCCCGTTAACCAATTATATGCTCCGCATCCTCCTCAGTGTTCCCCCGAGGGAAGCTGCGGGCAATTTTTTTCCATAGTCGACAGGCGAAGGGATACACTGGTAATTTCATTCGCCTAAATCACTGTTATCGCAAAGCGCAAACAATCAATACCTCCTTTGATGCCAACGGGTCAGGTGTTACAGTACGCCATATTCAGCGTTTACGTATATATCAAGAATATTAGGCAGCCGTAATACCGACCACGTATGCAACGCAATTTCGGAAAAGGATCTTTGCTTCTCCGCACAGTTGCCAATCACACTTTTCTTTCCAAGCAGCTGGTGTTGCTGAAGACTGGCAGGTCGCTGGTGTCACTTTCAAGGCTGCTATGGATATGAGAGTCCCCCTTTCGTTCATGGTATCACTCGCACACAGCTTCTCGGGGATTGTAAGCGTGGGAAACAAAATATTTGACGATGCACCACTGTATTCGTTTCTCCCTGCTTGATGAATGCGCATCACTTAATTAACAAGCGCACATGCTCACCTACATGTGTCGATCTGAACTTGCTGCAACCAAGCGACGCCATCATTGTTTACCGGCGTAGGAAAAAGGTGGAATGGCACGAGAAAACCAGAAAACTAGAAACAGCAAAGAAGAAAAAACCTGCATAGGTCAAGCTTCCTAATAATAATGCGAATATTCTTGAACCTAGTTTTTCTTTATATATTTCGCAATATGCTACGTAGCGTACAAACGTAAGCGTTCGTGGACTACATGCAGAAGCGTAGTAAAAAGGGTGTGCTTTGGCTTCGTAGCCTTGGCTGTGCTGCCACAGAAAGTTGTCGCCAACTATAGAGAATACATATTGGGTGCAAAAAATAAAAGAAGGCTCTCATCAGTAGTTTAGACTACAGAAAATAATATCGCATAATATGAAGCTTTCAATGAGAGTTCATCAAAGAAGCGTAACCCCGGGACACTTGGACTACAGCTCGCATTAACCTGTTCGATTTCCGGTGAGCTAACAATATTGATAGAGTCAATAAACACGCCACAGAAACCAGAAAATTGTGACAGGACATGCGAGAAAGGCGCGTAAACAAGGCGAAGAACAAACAACGACGCGCTAGCACTGTACGGTACGTGCATAAACAGCACCAGATGAATACCACGTTAGCTGACGCTACAAGCATCGTTCCCGACGTGACGACCGTAAACATCGACTCAACTCTTGCCGTTTATTTCATCGCTACACATGCCGGAAGAATTTGTTGCGATTGCCGCGTAGGGTTCAATGTCACGTTGCCTCTCTACACCGGCAACAGCAGTACACGTGCGCGTATCCTTCTGCGCAGACGTTGCCATCGAGATTACTTCTAAAGAAGAGGTCTAGTTCCTTTTCCTTGAAGGGAGAAATGAAAAAAAAAATAAGGACAGCCTTCCAGAGCCGTTGAGCAGCTATTAGTGCGAGCCTGTTTTGAACCAATGACGCCCTCCAGGACTTCCCCACCTGGTCACTTGACAAACCGCTTGAACGTGCGATAGGTGTAATAAAAACTGCACGCTTCGATTCCCCGTTCATCATTGTTTCAGCTGGTATACGAGAGTCGCAATTAAGTCTTTGGTCTTGCTGTTCGCGTTAACGCTGCTGTCCGCAGGTGAGTTTTACCTAAGAGTTCGTATTCTGTGATTTTGCTTTAAAACGGGAAATGGATTTGTTTGCATCTCGTAACCTGGGAGAGTTTTTTTGAGTGTTTGTTCTTCAATCGGCCCTTTTCGTAGTTCGCAAGTGCACTTCTGTGCACTGCTCATTTGCCCAATTAGTCGTGTGCCCATCATGCTTCAAGCGGACACACGGTCCTAGTTGAATGTGCTGGGCTTGTCTATTTTGAGCGTTTATACCAAGAGAGCCGACTCCACATTTGTCATGTCATTACGTAAGCAATTCTCGCTTCAACAGGCTGTTTGCAGTTAGTGACAAGCTGCCATTAGTTGTTCAAACTGCATAGCAGTAAACGTAACTGTTCCATTTTTAAAGGGTTTATTTGAGCTGGTGACCTTAGGAATGCACCTAGAGCTTTCAATATCAGGAGCGATCACACATGGTCACCTGTTGAGGAGGGTTCCATCAAAGATAATCATTAAGCTATAAATTGAAGCAGGTAAACATGTGTCACGTATTGGAAATTTTCGGGATATAGATGCTCCATCTAGAACATCACCGCAGTTGTGGAACGGAAAAGATACATATGTAATTATGGTATTTCGAAACAGCAGTCGTTTAAGTTGTCCCGCTCGTTTCAGCCCTGTTAACGGAAGCGCAACGCTTCTCGGGAGGTGGAGGGTTTCCAAGGCCTGGCGGCGGCCGTAGATGTGGAGTAAGTGTTCGGTGATTTGCTCATATACTTGGCAAGAAGTTTCTCGAGCTAATGGATCTTTTGTATGTCATTGTACGGATCAGTTTTGTGTAACGAGACTAGCGTACAGTTATGAAATGTAAATATTTTACTTCTACTCTTCGTTGTCGCACTTATTTCTTTTTTTTCCCAATTTTGTTTTGTGTGCTTTGTTATACTTCACAACCAATTTCAATAATCTGGCCATTTTGCTCTTATTACCTGGATTCCAACCATAGGCTTTCATTCATAAGTCCTGTTATAACGAGATATTATGTGCTGTTTAAAAAATCACAATGCTTTGAAATGAATTGAAATCATCGTAATCATTATTTTATGCAAATGCATATCTTTAAACATCAGTGTTTACTGGAAGCCCACATTTACGTTATCATTAGGTGCATAATATTTCCATGAATATGCCCCGTTTAAATTTGCGTCCTCTGGTGCTTAGCCTTTACGCGCGCCGCGGAGTAATAATGGACAACTTATATGTGGTGTATTAACAGATATCGCACATTCACATGATGTTATTGTTGTTTTGAGACGCGGTTATGGCACGTTGTTTTATTGCCACCTTGATTAAACATAACAGTAAACCCATTAAAACTTGTGTAGTCCAGGAGCTAAACTTATAAAGAATAGGCCCACTTATAAGGTGCTACTTAATATAGAAAGTGGTTAGAACGGTGGCTAAAATTGCTAAAATTGTAAAGATGCATTGAAAACACTATTAAATTCTATAAAATAGAACAACAAACAAAATAACCACTTTGAGCGTTACTCTCTCTTCAATAAATTTTGATAAGGAAACAAAAGAAAATGTACTGCCCGTAACTGTTTATAATTTGGATGACATTTCAACAGGTCGGCACAGGGGACGGGGTAGTGAGATAAAAGTGGATAGGTAAGGAAAAAGCACAAGGAGAAGGAAGAGAGAGAACAAAAAGCATTACTCACCTATCTATAAGTTGTATAAAGTAGGGTGAGGGTTCTCACCTGCATTAGGTCGGGTATGCTCTGAACATGACGGCTATAACCGAAGGAAAACGACAAACTACGCAGTTGTCGGAAAGTATGTTGATCGGTGCGCTGGGAGGTCCGTTAAATACAATATTAGCGGCCTATGTGCTCATTTTTGCGCTTCTTGACTGCATTCTTTCTTCCTTACAGAACGTCTTCTGTCGCCCCGGACAGCGCTGCGTCTATGAAAGAGTCGTGTGCATACGAGCACCATGTCCACCAATTCCTCAATGTGAGTGCGCCGTGTGACGCAGAGACATCTTATACTGCGGTCTTGTGTTCAGTCTTCCATTGTGCTTAAAATTCGAATAGAGATGATCATGAGATAACGCCAAGAAAAGAGTTGCCTTGTAATAACTTGAAAATGAACTTTGACGTACTATATATAAGTGACGTACTAATAAAAACATCACTATGAGGCCGAAACAATAGACTGCGTCAATTATGGTTATCTGTGAATATTTAGCATGCTGATAAACTTCAGTGCTGGTTTGTTCAGTCTTATCGCTTGCTTGGAAAGGCGACCACTGCATGCTGTCACGAATAGAACATGCTACGGTGAGCTCAGTAGTATCCTGCCAAAATCAATAAGCTGCTATGATAATTGATAGCGATGGAACAGAAGTTTTTCATTTTCTGTTTTTCTTTGCCTGATGCCTGTGTTACGGGTTGAACACGTTACATCGTCCAAGTGGGATGCCATGCCGCGCTTCGCAGAATATGGATTTGAGGGCGCAGCTATGGGCAATCCAATGGGTATACGACGTGGCGGACAAGTTAGGCCTATCTGTCCCAACGTCGAAACGGCCCGCTAGGGGCTAGTTCACGCTCCAACGGACCTAACTAAAGTTTTTTCATGCCACACAGTTAACAGTAAACGAACGCATTGTGAGAAAAAAGCCACATTTGAGTTATGTGTACGTGTTTGCCTTTGATCGATGTACTAACATTTGGTTTCTATTTTTTCGCAGGTGTGTGAGATGACAGTTTCGACAGTTAGCAGCCTGCTGTCCACCATCCATGCTGCTGCCATTCACAGATCACGTTCATCTGCAATAAAAAGTACACTCAAGTAATACTGAAAACCACATTCCGAACTCACTGAACTACAGCCGAGTAGACGTCTCCCTGTCTTTCTGCGCATCTGAGTTTCTGTCTTCTCCACGCACGTTCGCCTTCTCACATTATTTTAAGAGGTAGCAAACGAGCACAGGGTGACTGAAAGTAGGTAGGGGAGATGAGGTAAGGAAGTTTGCGTGGCAGAAGAAGGCTCAGGACCAGGTTATACTAAAGAGAAGAAAGGGATGCCTTAGCTTTGCAGGGGAAGTAATCCGGCTGATGATGAGGATGATGACGATCACGATTACATGTCTGATGTGACAACAAGTGCTTTTTTTGCGGCAGGGTGAAAAAACAAGTCGGCGTTGTTTTCTCGCCGAGTGAATTCTCAGTTTCCTTGAAGAGCTGCACATGCCCTCGAGCGTTGGATGTTGCTGGATAGCAGTGGCAAGGCATCAAAAAATAAAAAGAAAACAAACGAACCTAACGACAAGGAATGGTCCTAACAAGTAAAGACACTCAAATCATGATATTCCCGTGTCAGTTGAATTTCCCTAAGTTTGAGTGAAAGGCACACGCAAATGAGAATGAATAAATCAGTCGGATAGCAGCACTTACTTTTCAGGCAAAGAACTCAATATTCTCAGCTTACTGGTGCGCCATTAATCTGCACAGCCTTAAGAACAATAAATATGTACTATTGATGCGACTGTAAATGTCTTTATATGCGTTTGTACGGACGCATGGAGGGACGTAATTACACAGAAGAGTCAAAAAGCTGTTTCGCATCTAAAAGTGTGTTTATCTCTAAACACACGTCGTACTCCTCGCTGTTATTATGTGCTACAATTTTCCAGGAGATTTCCGACAGACTGACACATTGTAGTTAAAAGGGCAGCTCTAATAGATACAGACTAAAGGAAGGCACACTTGCACACAGAGAAATACCCAGACAAGCGTCTGTATTACTGTGCGCCTTTCTTCAGTCTCTATCAAGTAGCGCTACCATTTCAAGTATGAATTGTAACTTCGCCAAGAAACATGATTTGATATGTGGGGTTTAACTTCCTGAAACCACGATATGATTATTAGAGAGGAGAGCACCGGAAATATGGACCACAGGGTGTTATTTAACGTGCACCCAAATCTGAGCACATGGGCCTACAAAGCTTTTTCTCCTCCATCAAAAATGCAGTCGCCGCAGCCGGGATTCCATCCCGCGACCTGCGGGTCAGCAGCCGAGTATTCTCTAGGCGCTAGACCACCGCGGTGGGGCTCGTTCAAGAAACAGAAGTCTTAGGGCATTTTGGAGTTTGCTCACACAGTAAATGTAATTAGTGACACTGAAGTTACCCACGCAAATCAAACTTCTTTGTTTGAAGTGTTGCTTAACGTTTTCTATGCCTCCGCAGCTGCAAAACAGAAAGGGTCGATCGTTTTGCGTTGCCATTGTTGCCCACCGACCATCTCCGCAAGTTACTTCAAGCTACGTTACGAGAAGAAAATAGGAACAAAGCGCAGCAAGTGCCTGCATGGCGCTATGAAGTCTGAGAGTGATAGCGCTACCAAATGAGTGAATGAGGCCTACAGCACCTGCACTTTCACCCGTGCTTGTAAGTCATCACTTTCACGTTGCCGCCGAACGAAGACACCACCAATCAGATATTGCACTATGCAGGATACCTACAGCTTACTCCATCTTTGTTATCTTGCACAAAAACGTAAGCGAATGCTCCCCTCTAGCGATAAAGGTGAAAATTGCCCAATTATGCCGGTGATAACACACATGAAGTGACAACATGCATTTTATTATAGTGTCCGACTTGGGCAGCTGCCAGGATGACGGCAGACATCTGCAATCTTTACTGCGCGACTCAGTATGTCTGAAAGTCTACGGGTAAGCCCCATGGCAAAGTGATAATTGAATATACTTTTCAAAGGCCAGAAAAAATGCCGCATTACTGACCTCGCTAAAAGCATTCATGTCGGAAGTTTTAGGAACTCACCCCCTTTTTCCAAAAAGGTTTCGCGAAAGGAAAGGCGAATGCTGCTCTGCCAAAAACGAATAGAGGGACGCTTAGTGAGCAGAAAAATTAATTTCGTGACGATCACACACTCAAGTATATTTATCACATCACTATATGGGCTACGAAGATGAAAGAGAAACAATTGATTGAGTCGAGAAAGTTTGTACAAGTACTTATGCAAAAACTACGTATGCCAAAGTCACATTCTATTTTTAGCAATAAACAAATAGTAGCTCTCCGTCGACTTCTCAAAAATTTTCATGTAAACTCCCATGTTGTGAGCGTAAAAGTTTGCAATAAAAACTGTCCCCTATTGTGTGTGCACACTTTGATATGATTACTATTCATTATGACTATCACTGTGATCATTACGTTCTTCAAGAGACATTGTGATAATTTTAATAGTAATAATTGTTCAAATGTAACGTCTCACAAGCTCCATATAGGTGTGATAGACGCAGGCCCTTGTAAATTTTGACCGTCCGTGTTTTTTTGACGTGGATCTACCAAAATTCAGGCCACCGTGGGCGGGGTTTTACCCAGTGGCCTTCTGGTTTCGGCAACCATAGTAGTGGATGTTTGTGCAAATTACCAGTACGAGTTAATGTTAAACGACTATGTAACACGTCCGCTGGTATACAGATGCAACTGCAAGAGTATTCTTGGATTTCTATGATATCAAGAGGTGACGGACGCGACCACCATGAACTAGTTACAATAGGTTTATTGACGCAAACGCCCTAGGAGGTATACATAAATTGCATCGGAGCTTCTATCGAAACGATACGTCAGCAACCCGACAGCTCGTTACAACCATCGTCGTCTAAGCATCGTGGAAAAAACTAGCAGCAAGCGAAAAAATCGGCAGATCCCACGTACCTGGGAATCAACTTTATGCGAACCACGAGGAGGGAAGGTGACTATGTTGCATTTTTTTATTGAGCGACACCTCATAAAATGACGCTAAATATATGTACAAATGTTGCACGCAGCAACATATGTTGAAGAAAACATGTGCGTTGAAGAGTTGCGAATGTTTGTATAACCAGTTGTGCACTTGCACAACGATGTCAGCTGGAAATGTGCTTTAACTACACCAGACGCTCAAATGGAGTGATAATGCTCGCGAAAATGCTGGCCCTTGACACTGTGCATAAATGAATTTCAGCGCATCGTACCTCACCACAATTGACGTTAACCCGACGTGACAGCTGCATAAAAGGAGTACATATGTAATGTATATAAAATTAGGTAGGCAGCACTGCAACCACTCTTGATGTTTCACAATGATGAGTGTTTATTTGAAAATTAGTTCCGAGACCTGGCGTAGCTCTGTGGTAGAATGATTGACTGCCACGCAGAATGCTTGGGTTCGATTCCTGCTGGGACTCTGTAAATTATTAGTTGCTTTCGTTGGGTGTCCAACGCTGCTATATGTGAGGTTTTTCTTAACACTGACATTTATTCTATGCCTTCGTTGGGTCGACGCTAGCGATGTCGGGTATTGCTTAACGCTAACGCGTTAGAATTGCCCGTGTGTGATCTTGTCGTTCCTGGGTACATACTAAGTTTCAATTACCTGTGGCACATACCCGCTTACCAGCGGCACATACCTGCCCATGAGTATGTGCCACTGTTTGGCGGGAAGTGTTTGACGACGACGCGACGGTTTTGTGAAATTATTCATGTCTTGACCAGCTCATCATGTTCATCAAACCATCTTACCCCCCCATGCTAATTTTCGTTCACGCCAAGTTAATAAGATGACCACGAGAGCACCCAAACGTAAGCTGATAGATAGATAGATAGATAGATAGATAGATAGATAGATAGATAGATAGATAGATAGATAGATAGATAGATAGATAGACTCAGAGTCGCCAAAGTTTGCTAAGAAATGCTTCGCACTTAAAAGATGAAAAATTGTGTCGCAACTGGAAGGAATAACAACGTGGCTATTTCGTGCAACACGAAGCGAAAACGATGCGATGTTTTTATCGTATTGCTATTCTCAGTTGCTTTTCAAGGATACGGTACTTCTCCATTGTTTTTCTAAAGCTCACTAATTGCCGTATGCGAGAGAACAGGGAGAGGAAGAAGAATGTCGGAAGCACGCTATATACAGGATATATAACAAAGTTTTCTGTGACACACACACACACGCGCACGCACACACACACACACACACACACACACACACACACACACACACACACACACACACACACACACACACACACACACACACACACACACACCACACACACACACACACCACACACACACACACACACACACACACACACACACACACACACACACACACACACACACACCACACACACACACACACACACACACACACACACACACACACACACACACACACACACACACACACACACACACACACACGCACACACACACACACACACACACACACACACACACACACACACACACACACACACACACACACACACACACACACACACACACACACACACACACACACACACACACACACACACACACACACACACACACACACACACACACACACACACACACACACACACACACACACACACACACACACACACACACACACACACACACACACACACACACACACACCACACACACACACACACACACACACACACACACACACACACACACACACACACACACACACACACACACACACACACACACACACACACACACAAAGAACAGACAGTAATACGGTAATACAACAGTTCATAAGCCTAATGGTACAATAATTCAAAAACTCTCGTCGCCCAACCAAGGAGAAACCTCCACATCAATATATGAGCCGTCAAAAGATCCGTTTTGCTGCCGCAGCTAGCGCAGCTGTTTCTGTAGTATGGCGTGCTGAATTCATCGTCCCGAAGGTGACAGCGTGCCAGCCGTACGCTTGTGGAAGCAGTCTGCAGTGTAAGT